GTCATAGTTTTCTGTAACAAGAATCGATCCCCTGTATTGGTTCTAAACTGTGAGTTTTCTGTAGCAAGATTCGATCCCCTGTATTGGTTCTAAACTGTGAGTTTTCTGTAGCAAGATTCGATCCCCTGTATTGGTTCTAAACTGTGATAGTTTTCTGTAACAAGATTCAATCCCCTGTATTGGTTCTAAACTGTGATAGTTTTCTGTAACAAGATTCAATTCCCTGAATTGGTTCTAAACTGTCATAGTTTTCTGTAACAAGATTCGATTCCCTGTATTGGTTCTAAACTGTCATAGTTTTCTGTAACAAGATTTGATCCCCTGTATTGGTTCTAAACTGTCATAGTTTTCTGTAACAAGAATCAATCCCCTGTATTAGTTCTAAAATGTGATAAAGTTCTGCAACAGCAGTTTAAAATTTCATCTCTACACTATTACAAATGGATAAAGCTCACTACACTAAACTAAAGGAATTACTCTAAGTAGAAATTAATATATCATTTAAAACACACAAATTAAAAAGTAACGAAAAGCATACTCATGATGCACATATTTAGTATATTCTTATCCAGCTGAAAACGTTTATCAAACATGGAAGGCTACATGTCTAAGTGAATGTACTACAAAGCTAGGGATAGTAAACTCAGATGTGCTGGGTTACAACACCCTACGTATCCTCCGATAAACTATAAATATCACATTAACCTGTTACATTGAGTGACTGCTTTCAAACTAAAACCATAAGTTTTATCCCAAAACATTCCATATAAAGATTCACAAGTATCTGAAAACAACCATTCAAACCCTTTTTGTTTTAATTCTTGAACTGTTTTTAACTGCTTTATGCATAAAAAGACTTGCCCTATAACAATACCTGTATCAGGTTGATCACATGTTAAACTCGCTGCCTGCAATGCTTGAAATTGTTTTGTATGTAAAAGGACGAGCCCTACAACAATATCTGATGGAACCAAGTCAACATCCTGGAAAATAAAAACATTTATATCATCGAAATTCATTACTTAAATGTATAGTTGAATGAACAAAGAAAATTATACATAACAATGAAATAATGTTTAAAACAAATAAGATATAATAGCATAAATATAACTGTATTTAAACAATATATATATATATATATGTAGCAAGTATAAGATAATTACCATAAATTCTAAATACTCATGTGAATTAGTGGGTTTGTAATATAAATCAATCTAACCTATATAATAGTCAGTGTGTGTCACATCACATCATGCTTGATTTCTCAAAACAGGAGGAGTCATAAAAGCCAAAGTACATTTATCCAGATAGAATAGTTCGATTACTGTTTGCCCATTAAGATTTTAGTGACGGTGGTGCAAGAGTGTCGTGAAACCTTATAAGTGTAGTGAGTGTTGGTATAATAAGCCTAATATAAAAATGGACTTTTACTAATAATTATTCTATGAATGATCTTAATTTTGATTGGCTCACAAAGGAATTTACTGACATTTGATTGTCTCGACTGCACTTTTCTGCCCCTTTGTTGGTCAAGCTTGGTTTCACGAAACCTCACAATTAATTCAGCTATAATGTAATGTATATATTAACATTGTTTCATCCATCCATTTACCATTTTCTTAATAACTAACTAAACTAATGATTATGCTGTCATATTATAATTTCAGTAATAATCATTAATAAGTTATTCCGAAACGTTCGAACCTTGTAAATAAAATGTTTTATGTTTTATCAACCGTCTTCATCTTCATTACTAAACTTTGGTTTCCCCATCAAGAATCCATTGCTATATATAAACTAGAATGACCAATGTCTTCGAGCAGCCTATCAATAAAACTGCCTTGGCCACTGTGGCCCCTGCTAGACATGTACATACTACCCTGCCTCTTTTGAATACTGTATTGTGATTGTCTTTCCCCCATATCTGTTGGGCTGACTGTAAATATACTTGTTTCCATCATTTAGTCCCAACTGTCCTAACACACCATGTAAGCCTACTACTTTGCTTCTGCAGCTCAAATCCGGCCCATGATTGAAATGGTGCATAGCTTCTAATAAAATGGCCAGATAGATGGATAGTTGGCCTAACATATCCAAAAACATGGTCTGGTTATATACTCCAGACTGTTTTAAATAAATATGTATAAAATGAACCTCGCTTTTTACCTTTTCACACCAAACATCAACAAATAAAACTCTCCCATCTGCAAAAAAAAACAAACTTAGTGAGTGTGTGGTGGGTTTAGAGCGTAGTAGAAAGTTGAGGTAAATACCTAGTGGTTACATAACTCATGTTTTATGGAATTGTTTTCACAGGCTATGCTTCAAGCATTAGTAAAGACAAAATAAAATTATTTTTGTTGACATGTAACAAGAGTTGTTTGTATATGAATAGGATGAAAAATCAATGTAACCTTTACAGGTGACAAAGAAACCATACAAGTAATCACATGTAGCAAGGAGAAACATTAGATATAAATAATGTGTAACAAGGATAAACCATACAAGTAATCCCATGTAGCAAGGAGAAACTTCAGATATAAATAATGTGTAGCAAGGAGAAACCATACAAGTAATCCCATGTAGCAAGGAGAAACATTAGATATAAATAATGTGTAGCAAGGAGAAACCATACAAGTAATCACGTAGCAAGGAGAAACTGTAGATATAAATAATGTGTAGCAAGGAGAAACCATACAAGTAATCCCATGTAGCAAGGAGAAACATTAGATATAAATAAAGTGTAGCAAGAATAAACCATACAAGCAATCCCATGTAGCAAGGAGAAACATTAGATATAAATAATGTGTAGCAAGGAGAAACCATACAAGTAATCCCATGTAGCAAGGAGAAACATTAGATATAAATAATGTGTAGCAAGCAGAAACTGTAAAAATACAAATATGTATACATATTTAGAAAGTATATCTTTCATATTTAAAGTTAGGGACAAAGTTTATGACCAGCTTTCAGGCCAAAAATCAAATCTACAAGTAAATTTGCACCTAAAACAATAATTATTGTATTATGATAGTTCATGCTTAATTAACTGAATATGGATTATTTTTAAAACACAAGTGGAAAGTATTAGTAACTTAAAAGTGAATTGTCTAAGAAAGTAACAGTTTATACAGTATGTCCAGGTAAACAAAGAAGTTTTAAATTATACTTGCCTCAAATAGCGAAGCAAATAATGACGCTATGTCAGTGTAAGCATGTTGACTGTGTTCATCTAATCCAGCACAGCAGCAACACAGAAGTTTCATCCTAAAGAACACAGACAGAAAACTCTTTGAAGGTACAATCTGATTTTACTTAACTTTCATGAGACCATTATTTTATGTTTAATGAAGATACTAGAAGTGACTATACGATCAAAAACACTACCACAGATCAGTATACATGTACAAATATAACAAACCATGTAAATATATTATAAAAATAAAATCAATGCCTAACTTAATTAGTATCACACTGAAAAATATACTTTCATAACTGGAAAGCTTAATTTCATACAACTCACACTGTAAAGCTTAATTTCATGACTTCTACTGGAAAGTTCACGAAGAACACACCAGATAGTAACTCTGTATGAAATCATGTGGTATCTCTTCTCATGAAGAACATACAGGATAGTAACTCTGTATGAAATCATGTCTCTCTCTAAACTAACTTCAAATTGTAACATGAAAGTACATTGTTTATCCTAAAACATGTAACAGTATACAGCTGTTTCTACTTAAATTTAATTGTTTCATTGCCCTTTGAACCCTGTCTAACTAATAATCCCAACACAAGTTGTAAATCATTTGGCAAACATGTGGCTCACGTTACCCTATCGAATTATATAAAACATGGGCTACTTGTGAGCTGCCCATGAGCATACCTCATGAAAAATATTCATTATTATTCATTGTTTTACCTAATATAACTTAAAATGTTTCGAAATTTACATTTTAGTTACTACTATAATAATAAATGAAGAATACACATTAAAAACAAGAACTATAGCACTAATCTGTTTTTGTTTTTTTTTGCGGTCGATTGTCGATTAAACTCAACCCTACTTTTTTATACTAATGGTATTGCTGCACTAAATAATGCATCTAAGAACACAGAATAATAAGAATAAGATTGAAGGCTATAAGAATTATGCTCTGCCTGAGTAATAACAATATTATAATCAGTAATTTATGTTAAGTTCCTTACTTCTAAGAGGGGTGGTAAATAAATTACATAAGAGAGAAGACCTAGAGAGCAAATGTCACAATTCTCATACTAGGGGGAAATTGAGGATTGTTTTTTAAATACTGCCTTATAAAACTCAGAGCTTAAAACTTATATAGCATAAATATTTGGGTTATTAGCTATTTTTGATGCTAAAGTTATTCTTATACCATGATAATGAAGTAGTTTAATTAAGTTTTGAATGTATCTCAGTAAAATCTTGTGACATGTGCAAAAAAAGGATGCCCATATGGAAAGAGTTAAAATTCACTTCAGCAGTAACTGGAATCGAAGTTTATTCTCAACTTAGTAGTAGACAGAAGATCATGAAACAGACTTATTTCTGTTATTAGGAACAAAACTTGGGTGATGACAGCAAGTTCCACTTCATTAACTAATGTTATGAGTTTAAAACAGTATTTTCACCTTATTGTTCACAACATTAAATGTGCTTTTTTGTGAAATTAATAAACAGTGTAACAATCTTCCAAAAGCAACTTTTTAGTATAGCAATCTAAGGTTCTATTTATTAATACAATTGTAAGTATTGAAAAAGTAAAACATACCTATATTTCCATACTTGTCTTGCCTTTAATGCTGCTATTGTGGGGAGTTCTACATAAAGTGATGGATCATCTTCAAGATTGCTCAATGAATTCTCCAGTTTGACTGCTCCCAAAGGATCAAACACAATGAACACACCTAATAATATGGCAAGGAGCATGATCCAAGCTAAGATAGTAGCTATCTGAGGGAGAAAAAAAAGGACCTTTTATAGTGTTCTCAACAGACTTAGCAACAATAGCATATTTATAACATAGATAACATTAAAATTACAAGAGCAAAAATACAAAGAGGTTAGGAAATATGTCAGACTATTAACTTCTAATGATTCTATAACATGCATTGTTATTCTCTTTTAGAAGTGAACCTGAAAAGATAAACAGGATATACTGGAATTGTCAAGAATACACACAATGTACACAAACCAAGAAAAACTAGCAATTAATTAATAATTATAAAACCAATTTAAATTACACTTGTGCATGAGTTCATAAAGTGAATAATGCCAGTTAGTGCTGCCTTCTTTCTAGTCTACAGTTACCAACAACAACACAAAAACTGTTGACAGTTACTGCTGCCTTCTATCTAGTCAACAGTTACCAACAACAACACAAAAACTGTTGACAGTTACTGCTGCCTTCTATCTAGTCAACATTTACCAACAACAACACAAAAACTGTTGACAGTTAGTGCTGCCTTCTTTTTAGTCTACATTTACCAACAACAACACAAAAACTGTTGCCAGTTAGTGCTGCCTTCATACTTGTCTACAGTTACCAACAACACAAAAACTGTTGCCAATTAGTGCTGCCTTCATACTTGTCTACAGTTACCAATAACAAAAAACTGTTGCCAGTTACTGCTGCTTTCTATCTAGTCTACAGTTACCAACAACAACACAAAAACTGTTGCCAGTTAGTGCTGCCTTCTTTCCAGTCTACAGTTACCAACAACAACACAAAAACTGTTGCAACTTAGTGCTGCCTTCTATCTAGTCTACAGTTACCAACAATGTGCTGGAAGTAAATGAAAACATTTTCAAAGTGGAAACATGGGCTTCGGTGAAAAACCAAAAAAATGAAGAGCAATAAAGTGAAGCATAAAAAAATAAAAAATATCTCCAATTCGTATGACATTTAAAAAAAAACAACAACAAAAAAAAACAAGGACGAGAGCATCTTGATGATAGCACTGCCAAACAAGAAGTGATAGTTCTTGTATAGCTGAATAGAGGAAGTCACATGCAGTGTGTTGCACTCCTATTGGTGGAAGGTTGTTGATTTGCATCTGAGATGCAGTTGAACCACATTGATCTTGGTCTATGTGGGAGCTCAAGGCTTGTGGCATGCAAAAAAAATGTACTGTATGAGAATGCAGCTTATGAGAAACCAGTCATTATATTTTGATCCATTTCTATAGAGGAAAAAGGATTTGGGAATTTCCTGTTCAGTCGATTGGCTGATGATATTAATGTCTCATTTTTGTACACTTGGAATTTCCTACCTATTATGGAAGTGAGGCCTGGGCCTTTTCAGTTGAGATTTGTTTGTGTTATAAACTAACAACAACTGAATCGTTTTTAAAAAATGGCATGTTCATGTACTGCAAAACACATAATTATATGGGGATTTTTCTTCAACATCCCATTTTTTTTAGATTAGTCACCAGTAATTTGTTTTTGATGATATTTTGTCCAGATATTGGGAAAAAATATTCTTATTTGGCATTAGTATGGGGTCTAATTTCAGCCCTCTACAATGACAAGTGGTACGTTGATGTAACTTTACATTAATCTAAAATTTCGCCGACAGAGTTTTTGTTTAATTGAATTATAATTCTTTGTGGTGAAGAAGAACAACTTAAATTTGCTGATATTTTCTCTCCTTTATTTCAGTTTCAGTCTGATATTGTTATTCAAGTTGACTAATTCATTTTACTGTTATACTCTAACAAATCACTCAATTGAACTTACATTTAGATCTGTATCTGTTGTATAGTACTGTATCGTACTGTATCGACTCATTTAGCAAGATGGAATATTGATATGGTGTGAATACCTTTTGTTTTTGAAAAAAGAAGAGAGTGAAACAGTATTTCAACCCATAGTGGCCATCTACTTTTCTTTTTTAGAAACTATAAGGGACTGAATAAAGAATGTAGTGTTTAAAAATACAATAAGCCTAATACTATTGTCTTTTGACAAATATAATTGATTATAAGACACCATGTTACTTCATTTATTACCATAACGAGTACCTATACGCAGTACCAGATTAACGTACAGGCCACCTAGGCCTGGGCCACAGACATACAGGAGCCCCACCAGCCACCAAAGTTAAAAAATTATGGTTTGTAAAACTAGTGCAACAGAGGCAAGAGTGAGTTATTATTATTTTTATTGTTATTCCCAAATATTACCTGGGCCTAGGGTCCCACTAAACCCTGCCTATACAGCAGTCCCTTGATGAAAGTTTTAAATTCAAAGTACAATCTGAAATCTTAGGCTTTAAAGTTATTTGAACATGTAAAAAATATTACAATTTCCATAATAAAAAAATAAAAAGGAATGTTATATTATTTCAGCTAATTACTGTATTTGACAGATTTGATCAGGCCTTTATTTAATGAAAACAAATTTTGATCGAACATCAAAGAATTCTAAGGCCACACACATGAAGCTTCTTACCTTTACTATAATTACAACATCTTTTGACTCACAGACATGGTTACTTGATGGAAATGCCCACAGAGTTCCCAAGATTGTCCAAGCTATTTCTGGTATTACTAACACCAGTCGAAAGTATAACAGCTTCGAAACAAATTGTCGAGGACGTATCTGCAAAAGATTTTATCCACATATACTTTCAAAATGTTTTGTTCGAATATAAAGCTATTTTCATATTATTATTATTATCAATACATTTTCTTCAGCAGCAATACTCTTGACAAGTAACTCAGCTCCCTAATGAGCAATTAACAAAGTATTGAGCATGATAAAATATATGTGAGATACTTTTCTTGACAAGCACCTCAGCTCTCTAATGATCTGTCAATAAAATAATGAGCACCAACTTATGCATTTGCTGCACCAGTTTTTAAGTGCAAACACTCAGCATAGTGTACAAAGTAAGTCATGGTATTTCTATCACTGTATTTCCAGGCATCAACCAGTGCATTAGTATCACTTGCATCTCCAGTCTAAAATATTGGGCTTTACTTTATTTATGGAGAGAGCTCTAACCAATACTCGGTGGGTCTCTGGAAGATTAAGAAAATTGTATAAATTTGAAGGTGATGGGGAAAAAATGGAGTTTTAAAAAAATGTCAGGAACTGTTAATACAGAATATTATATTGTTCTTCATAACCTAACTCTGCATTAGCTGCAAGAAATTTAAAATAAACACAAATAACTTTGGACACTTTAGGAATATTATTTGAACAAATGAACAATAATGAGAAACTGACAAGTGATAATTACTTTCAAACCATGTCCACTGTGCAGAGAAAGAACATAAAAACTTACCTCAATAATTGATCCCTTAGTAGTAAACCATATGATCACCATATTGACAGCTATAACTAAGGTCAACCAAACTAAAACTCCAATCAAGTAGATGCTTAACAGTTCTGAACCATCGCAGCTTGCATGAATTTGGTGTTTCACAAATATTCCTATGACAACACACAACCTTTAAGAAAAGAAAAACAGATTTGTTGACAGCATTAATCACTAGACGTATTATTAGTATTTACTTCAATAATCGACGGCATATTTGAATATGTACAAACTCAATTCATAGTCTTCTCAAAGAAACATGAGCAAACATCTGACCACAAGTCAATGTTTAAATAAGAACCCACCACTTTCTTCAAATAGACAAAATTTAAGAAAATGTTTTTGAAATAATCCCTAAGAAGTAAAAGTAGATTTCTAAAACATAAAACATAAAAATCCTAAAATACATCATCTTACAATACACAGTGCTTGAAATAGGGCA